CCACCCCGCTAGCAATAAAAAAAAAAGAATGTTAAGTGTTGTATCAGTAGCGCTGGAAACTCGTAGCCTTGCAGGCCGACCTTCTGGTCTGCTGTCCTGCTGAAAGAGACCGGGATGAAACTGGATGTTCGTCTTAATTTATTGTGTATAATGATATAACGTTACGCTGTAGGCTTCAGGATTTTATTTCTAGTAGGATATGTAATTCGTGACTCGAAGCTCCTGAATACGGCCCACAGTTTGCGAGCGAACGCGGCTTAATGGCAGTTTCCCGCTTACATTTGCAAGTTTGTGTCATTAGAAAGGGAAACAGAGACAGAGTAATGTGTCGTTAGAGTTCTGCCCGCTCCATTTGCCGTCCGGCTGATGAAGTTATTCCCGGGGCTGGATCATCATCGTCTTCATGCCACAACAGTCTCCTTCGCTTAATTCTCCGACGTGATGGTCCATCGAGTGGGAGGTACACGCCACTTGTCAGCACAGTGCGAGAGGCTCTGCGGATTTGAGGCATCAAACACATTGTTTTACACACTGCAGAGACCCTCATGGCGCCACCCCTATCATTCTTTCTCTCACTCTCCCGTTTGTCCTTCTCTTTTTGTTTCTTTCACCATTTCTTCTCCCATTGTTTGTTAGCTTGCTTTCCTTATTTTGAAACAGAAAGTTGTAGGATGAACTAATCGCTTACTTTCCTTTGATATGGCACGGACCATACAGAAAACAAAGGAATTTGGAGGGGGCGAACAGGCACACAGACGGCAAAGTGAACCCATTAATTTTCTAACAGAAGTTAGGGGATGAACCCCCGCTATAGCTCAAGCGGTTAGTCGTTGGCTTCCCACTTCGGCGGCCCGGGTTCGATCCCGGTTCTGGTCAAGTGGAATTTGTGGTGGACAAAGTGGCGCTGGGGCAGGTTTTCTTCGAGTACTTCTGTTTCACCTGCCAATCTTCATTCTACCAATTGCTCCACAATCACCCTCACCTATCATCTGGGGCTGATACAATAGGCCAGAAGTGGCCGCAGTACAAGGGACTTAGTCCCACCCCGCTAGCGATAAAAAAATCAGGGGATAAACAGACAAACGGAGAGACAGACAGCAATGTGATCTCATAAATGAAATGCTTCTGAGGTCACCTTGCTGTCTGTCTGCCCCCTCTGTCATTCTGTCTCTCCGTCTGTATATTCCGTATTAATTTTTGTTAAGTGGCTTATAAGATCACCTTGTTGTGTTTGTATCGCCCCTAATTTTCTGTTTTACTGTTCTGTGTCGTATCAAAGTAAAGTAGACGATTATTTTTCAGAAGGACTTCTTGTTTCACTGCATCCTTGATATGACCCTTAGTTCGTTGGATGGGGGAGAGGATATTTAAGTTTACTGAGTTCTGCTTCATTGGATACTGGCAAAATGTTAGCAGGTTCAGCGAGACCCAACTTGAGAACACTTGTCCGCAAGTGTAATTTGCCAGTTGAGAGGTTTATCAGGCATGAACATGAAGATATGTGACTGTCCCTCTCTGTACTAAGTTCATGACGCTGGATGCTGATTTACGGAGCATTTTGGCTCAAGCAGTAATGCTTCTGGCTTGTATCTCGAAGTGCTTGGGTAAAATCTCTGCCGGGACACTTGATTACACTGATAGGGGTGTGTCATAGTTTTCTTTAGTCACCGCAGGAATATGCTGGGATAGTAACGCACATCAGGCCACGACCCGTTCCTTCCACATCCCGTCCAGCTCGTTATTGACTCACAATAATTTCTACGCTGTGTAGCCCGAATTACTGGCCATGTCGTGAAATAATCGGCAGACAGATAAACGTATAGGGCGTTCAATCAAGGAGGAAACTTTGCAACACCGCTGACCAGGCCCAACATTCCTCACAGATTGCTACTGTAACTAACTGAAACGGCGCGCGTTTATCAGCGCTAATGACTCATTCTGCTATCAGCAGTTACATTAGCAATCTGTGAGGAATGTTGGGCCTGGTCAGCGGTGTTGTGATTTTTCCTCCTTAACTGAACGCACTCTGCTGTGAGCCATATAGTCCTGTAGAAGCCCTGCTTGATCTTCTGCTCCTCCGAAATGTCTGTGAACTTTTCCACGTTCCAGAAGGTAGTGCGCCTCACAGCCACCGCCGTGAGAACCATAAATCCAACAGATATACTCTAGTTTATCAGTTCTAAAATCGAAATGGAGATATACATGTTTCTTCTTGTCTCCATATTGTGGAGCGTGAAAGGTAAAGGTGTCCCTGTGCTTAACTGATTAAGCAATACGTCATGAAGGCGTATGGGGGAGTGGATGTATAGTTCCACGTTTTATTGACCACGGCACTATTTGGAGGCGAGTGCTCAGCTTCACGCCCCGGTCGTTTTACCCCAGGAGAAAGAGGCCTGGATACTCATTGGATAGCAGGTTGGGGTGGACTCGAGAGCAAGTCTGGACAACGTGGAGATGAGACAGACCCCTTGGTCGTCAGCCCGTAGTCCGTCTCTATACCGACTACACAATCCTGGTTCGTCTCCATATTGTGGGAACTTAAAACATAAAGTGTGGAATAGACCCCTAGCAGCATGACCTTCATGCGGGGTTTTATGAATATCACCCATTCATTCAAAAGTTGTTTCATGTCGAAATATGCAGACATGCGCAAATGGCACACCCTAAGGCTGCGTCCGTCCCTCTTCTGAATATAATTCGGTTGAAATCTCTCTTTATAAACGTTCTTGCGGGCCAGTCAAGTAGTGTGTATGTAAAATTTGGCCTTACGATTTCGTGTGTTCAGACTACATTCATATCGCGCATGGGAGAGGGTTTGGCGCCCCTACAAGGTACTGGGATAGTTACTGTGTGTTTTATATCATATTCTCAGCTGCGTTGCCACCAAACACGCTTTTGAAGAGACACAAGCAAACAGGCCACAAAACAGTAGTAACACCAGTGAATTAATATAAATGATGGCCAAGCTATGGTTCGCAAACCCCTTGCCAGCACGAGAGATGTTTCACGATGTTCGCAGGGAAAGAGAATACGTAAAGGATTGTGTTGAAATTTTAACCACTTAAAGCTCAAGGTAACTGTGTGTACTGAATGCTTCGATATTCAAAATTCTCGTTTTATACAAAAGGGCTTATTTATACATTTATTATGATTCTCAGAACAAACAGCATTTATTTCCCTAAACAGTATAAATCGACTGTAATGGAGAGGTAATGTGTTTTCTGTGAAGAAGGAACTGAATTTCGGAATATTAAAATGTATTTCGGGCCTAAAAGGGTTTCCTCTTCTGCTGGTGTCGTTACTATTTCATACGGGTCGATGGTCGAAACGTCTCCAGTGTTTTCTCCACACAATATTTCCTTTTCGATTTCTTGTCATCTCTTTTCTCTTGTCTTGATGTCTTCGACGATGGCTAATGGGGCTCATATGAAGCTGTGACAGGCCAGGAATCTGACAGTGGATATTAATAATGCTTTCAAAACGAGAAAAAGTCTCAGAAAGAAGTCTTGCTTTAACGTATAAGAGATGATTGGGAATCCATTGATGTGAACTGAAGTTACTACTTGAGTAAGAGATTCTGAGACACCCTGTAACATGCTTTCCCATTTATTATGTACTTTAATCTATGTAAATTTTGTTCGCCAAATTGAATTAACTTTTAACATAGCAGCGAAATTGACACATTGCTCATAGCAAGCCGGGGTTGGGAATGCTAACTCTTAGCAACTGTCGTCAATTTTCTCTCTTTTGTTTGAACTGTGAATAAGTACAGACCCTGTATTGATATAATGGTTAAGGACCTAGTATTACGGAGTTTTAACGTTAATTCTGAAATACTCGTAATTTTTTTTTTTCGCGTACTTCACCTAATGTTAAGGAAGTTCGAGGACGTTTTGCATCACGTAGTTCCTCTGGGGAAACAAAAAATTGGTATATTCTGGTGGTGAAACTCTTGTACCCGATCTCTACTCCCTGTGGCCTATGGCCGTCACTGTGTTTTTGATCTTCTGAATTATATTCGGCGCGTTATTGCGTTTTCGACCAACTTTCTCTTGAGTATTTTCCTTAGATTGGGATACTGGCCATTTGTGTCCATTTCTGCCAGTTCCAAACGTAACGCCAATTTAAATTAAAATTTATGGCTTCTTTAAAATACTCGAAATTGTATGCTTAGGAATTAACTTAAATGTTGAATGAAAGAGTTTTCGTTCTTCCCACAGGATTAATCTTACATTATACAGTCTTACGAACTTTGTCTGAATGTAATAGAACAACTTGCTGGCCCTCATGTTCCGAGAAGGTAACCCACCAGATTTCTGTTCGGAAGGTGCTTGTTTCGAATCTCGGCCGGGACACCGGATATCCTTATCGAGGTTTTTCTCATTCCCTTCGGGCAAATTCTGGGATATACTCTATTAGACCAGGACCGCTTGCTTCAAAATCCCTTCCAGTTCATCATTCATCTGTCATTCAACCACCCGACTCTAGTCACAATACCGAAAAAAAAACCTCCTTTGTTCTATTCCGCAAGTGAACTATACCGACCGCCTCTATGGTCTAGTGGTCACAGTTCCTGGCTACAGATCCAGAGGTCAGGGTTCAATTACCGGCGCTACCAGATTTTCTGAGAATTAGTTCTGGAACGGGGTCCACTCAGCCTCGTTAGGATAACTGAGGAAATATTTCAAGGAAATAGCTGCTTCGGTCTAGAAAACTGATATTAATGGCCGTGGGGATTTGTTGCGCTGACAACGCGACACCCTCTATCCGCTGAAGTTGGCACTAACTTCCCCGACAAGCGGCGGTCTCCCGGTCGGTCACAATACCGAAAGCATCAATAAATAACGTGGACACACACACACACAACCACTTGAGCACTTATTTAGGGCAAAGCTGTCTAGGTATTACGCAGATGCAGTTTTATGATGTAACCTGTAAAGGATCTTTGAAGCATTATGTCAGTTTAGTTATGCTTTACATGTTCTGTTTTTTTTTTCTAGGAATGGAAGCTATTATGTCCGAATTCTTCAACGACACAACAACTGCCTTCTATATAATACTGATCGTGTGGATAGCTGACCAATACGATGCCATTTGCTGTCACACCACCATTACCAAGCGACACTGGCTGAAGTGAGTATCTCATCGTTAAACACATATTTCGTTAACCATTTCTCTGGAACTCTGGTCATGTAAATCTCACCCTTGGTTGGTAGGCATACCATTTCAACAAAGAATGCATTTCATATTTTTTAGTCGATACAGTAGAAAGAATCTGAAGATCATATAATCACGCGTATATATCGAGGATAGAACAATAATCTTGGCCATAGTTCTTGACGAGGCCTGAAGCCAAGAATGACTGTGCTTGCGAGGACCAGCAGCAATTTAATCGACCGACAGATTAGTAGGCGGTTGAGCTTTGGCTCCTCAAGAAGGATGCCACTTTATGGAGTTACTTTGGTTCGTAAAATATCGAGTGTTGAGGAAAACTTTTAATCTACCTTCTGCATTAAATTCCATACAAATGCTTCGAATTGTTTTAGAGTTTAACCATGCAGACGGGCATATGTTTCCTTCGTTTTCCGTAATTTGTATCGTCGTGTAGTATTATGCACATAATGATGGTTTTCTTTGGTATTTAGAGCCTAGTTATCACTCTTTTCGAGTGTTTAGCGACCAATGATTGATTGCTTCCGGTATTAGCGCCTAATTATCGTTCATTATCGTCCAGTGATTGTTTGCTTTGTGTATTTAGCGCCTAGTGATTATTCCCTTTGTGTATTTAGCGCCTAGTGATTGTTCCCTTTGTGTGCTTTGCGTCCAGTGATTGTTCCCTATGAGTATTTGGTGCGCTGTGATTGTTCCTCCTGAGCACTTACTCGTAGTGACCTGCGATTTTCCCTTTGAGTATCTAGCGGCCAGTGATTTTCCCTTCGAGTGTTTAGCGCCTAGTTACCGTCTTTTTTAGTGTTCAAGAGCCAGTGATTATTCCTTTCGAGTTTTTAGCGCCTAATAATAGGTTCTTTTTTTTTAGTATTTATCGTCCAGTTATTTGTTCTCTTTGAGTATTTATCGTCCAGTGATTGTTCCCTTTTAGTATTTAGCGTCTAGTGATAGTTCCCTTGGAGTACTTATTGCCCAGTGCTTGTTTCTTTTGAGTGTTTAGCGGCCAGTGATTGTTCCCTTTGAGTATTTAGCGCCTAGTGATTGTTCCTTTTGAGTACTATCGCACAGTGATTGTTTCCTTCGAGCATTTACCGCCCAGTGATCGTTCCCCTTGAGTTATCGTTTCCTTTCAGTATTTAGCTCCCAGAGATTGTTCCCTTTGGTACTTAGCGCTCTGTGATTGTGACCTTGAGTATTTAGCGCAAAGTTATCGTTCTCCCTGAGTATTTGGTTCCTTGTAATTCCCTGTGAGTAAGCAGCTCCCATTCGCATAGCCGTGAGTTGGACATGTTGCGTGGCCATCTCACCTTGTACAGCCCTGTACGTTTCTGAGATACACGTAGTTCCGGCCATAAGGAAATTATGGTTAATTGCATTATGGGGATATGGATACAAGGTAACGGGGAATAGTTGAAGTAATTCCAACTTGTGTACACAGAGTCTGCGTGCTTTCGAGACGATATGTAAGCAGTGGTACCGCTGCTATAATCCGGCGATCAAATTAGCATCGGGGCCCTGTCTTCTCTGAATGGACCATGTGTGACCCATTAACACGGTAATGGCACAACTCTATGTAACTTAATTCATACAGGCTTCTACTTTGTATTCTCTTCGGCAATTCTTTTTGTTCATTTTTTCTTTTCTGTCTTCCTACCTATCTCAACGTAAGCATTCTGTGCGCATTTTCTGACGCGGGAGCCGCCATGTGAGGAAATGGTTTCCGTGTGCTGGTCCACCGTTTTGTTGCAGTTAGGTGGATTTAGAATTAATGTGACGTGGACTTTCTGCAAGGAAGGCAGTAGGGTGAATTTAGTTTCAGATCCTGATCGATTCCCTGTGCAGTATTTGCACCATCATGACTGAGTATTCTTGAAGTAGATAGTGTAATTTTCTTCACACCAGATGCGGCCCGGTGTCCACAGCCTCGTTTGTGAGAACGTGATGTTCCGTGTGAAGGTGAGGTAGGAGAGGTTTCGAGGGGCGATGGCTTTCTTACACTGAAAGATTTTAATTGGTCATCGCAAGTTTTCACGAAATTTAAATGCAGTGGATTCTTCTAGGTGATCAGCCGCGTCGACGCAAGTATTGAAATCTTACACGTCATTTGATCATTTACTGTCGAAATATGTAATGTATAATAAAGGTAAAGTTGTCCCTGTGCTCAACGAATTAAGCACTCATGAAGGCGTAATGGGGAGTGGAGTATAGATCCACATTTTCTTGACATTGGAACTAGCTGGAGGTGAGTGGTCAGCTTCACGCCCCTGTCGCTTTACCCCCGGTACCCATTGGATAGGAGGTTGGGTGTACCCCAGAGGCGGTCTGGACGATTTGGAGGAGAGAAAATTCTTGACCCTACCGGGGCTCGAACTCCGACCCCTCAGTCGTCCAGCCCGTAGCCAGTCGCTATGCCGCCTGTGCTACCGTTTTAATATAAGTTTGTGTGTGACGGTTAATCATACGACTTAAAATAACAGCACCTAAATGCCGCGTCATAGCTCAAGCGGTTAGTTTCTGGCTTGCCACCGCGGCGGCCCGGGTTCGATCCCGGGGTCTGGTCAAGTTGGATTTGTGGTGGACAAAGTGGCGCTGGGGCGGGTTTTCTCTGAGTACTTCGGTTTCCCCTGCCAATCTTCATTCCACCAAATTCTCCATCATCATAATTACCCGGGGCAGGTACAATAGGGCAATCAGTGGCCTCCGTGCCGAGTGGACCCAGCTGGACTCCACTCCCCCACCCACTAAGCGAATTAAGAAAAAACAGCACCTAAACGTAGTTTGCTTTATGGATGAAATATATTTAAAGCGTTGTGTTTTGACTAAGGAGTGGGTGGAGCTGGGTGCAGTGTAGAGTGTCTCGGCACAGTGTTTCAGCTTGTCATCACGAAACTCCCCCGTTGCTTGCCACTGACTTATTAATCAGTGTAGTTTTAATCGTTTGCAGTCGCCAGCGGGCAACAATAATGCAAATGGCTCTGAAAATGAAGCAGTCACGTGCCATTAAGCTACCCGGAGGAAATTTGATCTCTCGCGTACGCTAATTGCCAGCCCGTACGGTCAGCCAACCCACATAGATTAGTCCCCTACGCCGGGTTTAGGTTGTGGGCCAGGCGAGTTCAAAACGGAGATTCAGAGAACTGGAGAACCCTAAAGCTATTTAGACCTTCTGCTCCCAGTATACACCCGACTGCCCTGAAGCAGTAATATGCGGTTTTCCTTTAATACTTTTTATTTTATAAAATTTCCCGTGTGATATTTTTTGCGCGTCTAAATATCAGACAGCGCTGCCCAAACTCCAGTTCGTAAGAGCTTGAACACTTTTTAACGCACCGGATAATGGTGGAATGCAGCTCCTGTGGGAATTTGTGGGGGTACTTTTGTATCCGGCCTTGTGTATTGGCCAGTGGAAGTGCGGGTTTGCATATGTTCCCTTGTGGAGGGAAATTATTTTGTATAGTGAAATGGATTTACATTGAAAACATCAATTCTCTAACGTAACTTCGTAGTTGTGGATGTTCTTGGTAACAGATCGGTGTGTTTTTACAGAAACCGAAGGTTCGTTACCAGAAAGCTCCGAAAGTTTATTGTCACGCGTTAGAGTGACTGTTGACGGGTTTTGGGTTGATCAGTGGATTTATTGAACACTTCTCTCTCAGTTATACACTCCAAAGATCACTGTATTTTATTGCTAATGGAGTGGGACTAAGTCCCTTGTACTGCGGCCACTTCTGGCCTATTGTACCAGCCCCAGATGATAGGTGAGGGTGATTGTGGAGCAGTTGGTGGAAGGAAGATTGGCAAGGGAAACCGAAGTACTCGGAGAAAACCTGCCCCAGCGCCACTTTGTCCACCACAAATCCCACTTGACCAGACCCGGAGCAAACGTGAAGTCTTCTCATTGTTCACTAGCCTTTGCTTGGTAGCAGCTTTCCACGGCCGACGTTCCCCTTCTTCTGGGTTCTCGACCTGTCCCCGGACTCAGCTACCAGCTTCTCACAACTGCAACTCTCAACGGACATCCAAACGGAGTCACATTCAGAGTTACGGTACGACTGGCCGTTAGTCAAAGTCAGAGTTACTTTACGACTGTCGCTTTACCGCCAATCAGTTCGTCTTGGCGCCAAGCCCCTTCGGACCCACGACCAGTGTTTTCTTTTTTCACCTGAGCAACTACGGTTATAGTCCTTATGTAATGTCCTTTCTGACTGGAATATGGGTTTGTGTCTTATGAATATGCTTGGCCTTTCTTCAAGTGTATATTTCACACATATAGCATGTTATTGGATATTCTTCCTTTTGCACCATGTAGAAGTCCTCTGTTGTCCAGGCTTTGCAAAGCAGATCATTCTTATCTTAGGTATCTTATGCTACAACGGCAGTTTATTCACTTGAACGGTCGTAAGTTTAAGCCTCAGGCTTCATCTTGTCCTTTAGTGCGGACATTTTCATTCTCATGATTTGGTATAACTTCTGCTAGTTGCCTGCACAGTTTTGTTATAGTATAACCGTATGCATACGGAAGGTTGAAATCCATATGAAATTCGCGGACCCGTGTGCACCTTGGAATATTTAAATTTCCAGTTGCGTGGAGAACGTTGTTTTGTAGGCGCTGCAATTTTAAGCGGTAGGTGTTTGCCGCTAATTCTTAGGCTGGGCATTACTGATCTGATCAGTGCCTTGTGGAAGGTTAGTTTAATGTTNTATTGGATATTCTTCCTTTTGCACCATGTAGAAGTCCTCTGTTGTCCAGGCTTTGCAAAGCAGATCATTCTTATCTTAGGTATCTTATGCTACAACGGCAGTTTATTCACTTGAACGGTCGTAAGTTTAAGCCTCAGGCTTCATCTTGTCCTTTAGTGCGGACATTTTCATTCTCATGATTTGGTATAACTTCTGCTAGTTGCCTGCACAGTTTTGTTATAGTATAACCGTATGCATACGGAAGGTTCGCATGTGTTAGGCCG